ATTAAAAAAAATTAAAAAATATAAATTTTTAAAAGAAAATTTTTAATTTATAAAACATGAATAGTGTTAAAAAAGTTGAAGTACTTAAAAACTAAACTAAACATGCCCAATCTTTTAACGTCACTTTAAAGACATAAACTAAATCAAAAGAATAATTATTATATTTTTTAGTTATTTAAATTTTATTATAGTTATAATGTTATAGAAAATTATAAATTTATAATTTGATATGATATTAAATAAAATATGATATGCTATTAAATCAATAGATATATATAATATCAAAAATAAATCTTTAAAAAAATTAATTATATAATAACATATTACATTATAAACTTATAATATCACGTAATATTATAATTATAATAAATGTTATAGAAAAATAAAAAAATTGATATTAATATTAATACAATATTACATATTATTTTAGTTTATTAGTTAATAAAAATTAAAATCAATTTTTATTTTTTATGTAATTTAATAATTAAAAAATATAATAATTATACTCTTAACATGTGTCATAAAGACACATATTGAAAAAAACTCTTAAGTTATATATAGGACATTTTTATAAAAGATTCATGCAATAGTGTTTGAATTATATATTAAAATACAATTTATCTTATAAATTCATTAAAAAATTTAAATAAAATAATAAAAAAATAATTTTTTTAATATACAATTCGTGCAATAAAATAATTTTTTTGTTTTTATCTTATATATAAAAACTGTTTTATTTTTTATTTTTTTCTTGAAGAGGCAATTAATTTTTGTATTTTGCGGTTGTGCACTTTTTCAGGGCGTACCCCGCGCGGGGGTTGGGGAGGGAAGAGATGACATGACCCTTAATCAAACTTATCAAACTCAGCAGCCATGGCGTGCCTGTTTCACTGACCAATCCAGTGGCGCCACTTTGTCTGGAGCGCGGGGGATAAGGTTGATCCTAAGTTGACGCTAAGAGGTTGCACCAATCGTTGGCTTGCTTATCGCAAAGAAATCTCATAGAGCTGAAATGTATATAATTATAATTAATGAAAATAATGAAATCGGGTTTATCGAAAAAATTAAAAAACATTTTTATAGCATTTATTTTAAGAGTTTTTAATTTATACCTTAAAAATATAGATAAAAAAATAATTAATATATTTTTGGTCATTAAATTATATTAAAAAATAAAATATATTTTTAATTTTAAAAATTAACTGATAAAATTAAGATACATAACACTTATATTAAAATTAATACTAAATTTTTTATTTTTTAATATTAATTAATAATTAAAAAATATATTAATTATACTATTAACTTACACGTAAGAGGTAAGACAATGGGTAGAAAAATCCCTATTTTAATTAGCTTCTATTGATGATACCTAAATCTATTAATTAACCATAAAAAATTTCTAAAATGTGGAAGAAATTATAGTCAACAAATGCACAAGGGCCAAAATCACCATCTGGCCCCTCAACTTGTTAAGTTTGACTTTAAGTTTCTTCAAACTATAATTTTGTAACTTTAAACCCTTAAACGGTACGAAATTAAAATTTTGTGTCTAAATTAACAAAAAATTCACTTGCCGTCACGTCACCGTCACCGTCACCGTCACCGTCCGTCAAAAATGCCATGTCACCTCTACATATAACCAAATGTGTTCCACATAAGCATGCTACATAAAATTAAAGACTTGTTTATTGCCAAATTACCCTTTTGCGCTTAATTTGTTTTCCAATTCTCAAATCCCACCATTCCTCTCTCCAGTTAAAAAATGTCAACATTTCTCGTATTTTTTGAGAATTTATTCCATAAAAATCACTTCCAATACCAAAAACAATTTAACAACAATTGGTGAACCTCACCCTTTTGATAAAGTGGTTCTAACCACGCTTGTAAGGTTCATATCCCTCCCTCCGGATAACGGTTCGAGCTGGACTTATGATAAAATGTTCAAAAAAAAAAAAATTAACAACAATTGGCTCTAAGTCATTCCACTCCAAAAAAATTCATTCAATTATCAGTTACTTTCCAAACGAAAAATTAAACAAAAATAAGAAACACAAAAATCCAAATATGGGTTTCTCGCTTTGGAACCCCTTGCTCTTTACCTCTTCCATTAAATGCTACATAAGTACAAAATTAAATTCATATTTCGAGCTAGTTTTTCTTTTCCATTAATCAAAATATTTTCCAAACAAAAACATGAATTAAATGCTGCTAGCTTAAAATTCAGAATTCTCTGTTTGACAAATTCTAAATGTAGTCCCCCTCAGAAAAGAATACATAATTACTTTGTAAAGTACTAAATTTTACTCAGGGAAAGTAAGAAATTGTAACTATATCAACCTCAAGAAGCCCTCAGTCTTCCCATTCTTGTTGCATATATCTGACTTCTTGGCACATCCATCGAAAAAATCCCCAATGTTCCAGTTCGAGTAGTCTATCGAACTTGGTACGAAACTAGGAGACACTTGCACAAGAATCCGATTCGATTCCTTGGATTTGAGCTGGACCCACTTCGGGTATTTTTGAGAACCAAAATTTGGGCTCTCCATGGAAAGAAAATGGGGATGAAGATCATCGATGAACCTGAAAGCGGAACCCAACAACTTCCATCTCCATGACAGCCTCTTGAACAACGCCCACTAATTATTCCTCTCACCCAACTTAATTTCCTCAGATCTATCTTTAAAACCCTTTCTGGCAAAGTGGCAGTCAACGGACGGCGAAGGAATCTCTTTCTCTTCTAGTAATTGGATCTTGGGACAGACCGGAAAGAGAGAGGTGGTTATAATGGGAGAGATTAAAATTTTGGGTGGGTTCTTTGGAGAATCCTGTTTTTCAGAAATAAAAAATAAAATAAAAAGAGGATGAAGGAAGAAGATGATGACGAGGAAAGAGAAAATCGAAAGAAGAAAAACGTGGAATTGTTGAGGACAATGTGGCATATTTGTATGGGATACATTTGCTTAGGTGTAAAAGTGACATGACATTTTTTACGGAGGGTGACGGCAACATGACGGCACGTGAAATTTTTCCTCTAATTTAGAAACAAAATTTTAAACCCGTGCAATTTAGGGGTTTAAAGTTATAAAATTATAATTCAAGGAAATCTAAGACTAAACTTAGCAAGTTGAGGGATCAAATGGTGATTTTTGGCAATGCATAAGTGTAAAAGCACAAGTAAATTATATATTAATTATATAATTAAGATTTCTAAATTATAATGCACAAGTGTTATTAGAAGCAGAATCGTAGACGTCAACAAATGCAGGGTTAAAGTATAGAGCAGAGGTGTGGTTGTCTAATGTTTGTTTTCTGGTAGCTATTTTTCTAGGTAATGTTTGATAGATATGGATTGTATGCTTTGTTAGTCTTGACTTTAGTTCTGTGAGTTATATTTTTGAACAGGTTAGACACCCTTTATATTTCAAGTGATAAATTTTGATTTTGTTAATATAAAAATGGAAAAAAGTATGGTCACAATCAACATAGTCACAATCAACATAGTCACAATCAACATGTGAATGTCACAATATTGTATACCTCGTGACACTTGCATTAGTCAGTCAAAAGGGTTTGGCCATTAGTTGGTAAACTTTGATTTCCTTGACGAAATACTCATTCTTAGATTAGAATCCAAACTCTCAACAACTTTTTATTGTGAATAAGAGATTTATAAGTACCATATTCTTTTTGTTAGGACTTAAACTTTTCTTTTACAAAACCCCAAAAAAAAAAAAAAATCTGTACACTATTCGAGTATATAAGTGGACATTTTTCTTCTTCTTCTTCTTCTTTTTTCTTATACATAATCATAACAGCAATTATTGAAATGTCGAACCGTACAGTTAAAAAAAAAGAAACGTAGAACCGTAAGTAGGGGGTGGGCAAAACCGGTTTTTGGTTAAAACCAAAATCGGTTTTAAAATAACCAATTTTTTTTTTTAATTTTAAAAACTAAAATCGAATCGAAATTATCAAAAACCGATCAATTCGGTTATCAATAAATCGATTTAAAATCAATTCGGTTTCGATTTTTGATAAATAAATAATAATCAATTATTTTTCTAATAATATATTATATTTTATCATATTTTATCATATTTATCTTAATTTTAGTTTTTAGATTGCTTATTTTCGATTTATTTTCAATTTTTAGTTTTTGAGAAACTCAATCGAAATCGAACTAAAATATATTCGATTAATATCAAAACCAAAAAAATAAAATAAAAAACTATTGAAACCGAACCAAATTTATTTTTTTGGTTCGATTTTCAGATAAATCATCGGTTCGGTTTAAAAATGCCCAGCCCTAACCGTAACTGGGGACTTTTGTTGGCTGCTTGTGGGGAATTCAGGTCTTTTTTTTTTTTCCTTTTTTGATGCACGGGGAATTCAGGTCATTTAGTCTTGCATGCGACTTTATGTTCGCTCTGAGTTGGCATGTCTCTCATGGTAGGGAGTGCCATCCA